TCGAACTCAGGTCCTTGTGCTTGCACAGCAGGTGGCGAAACCACTGAGCTAAATTCCCAGCCCTTGAATATTCTTAAATGTGGCATGCTGTTGTCATTTCCAGTGAATTTTTCTGATAGCCAAAAGTTACTCACGTCTAAGACATGAGCATTACAGATCACATGGGTAGGTAATATAACATTTTTTACCTAGTTAAATATAGCATACTAATTAATAAATATAAATTGACCATATATATCTTTACCTGGCAGACAATCTAAAAATGTTTTGCATGATAGTGTTTCTTGGGAAAATAGTATAATCTCCCAAAGTAATTATACTGAAATATGTAAAAATGCATGTATTATAAATTCTGATGTGTTTCATTTTAAAGTTGCATTCATTGTAGCATATAATAGTATAAATAGTTACTTTATGTTAAGTCAGTGCTTTATGCTACCCAGGTATATGAGCAGAGATACATCTGGGGACTGATCCCAGGCCCTCAGCTTAAGCAGTTTCCCTTCCATCTGATTTATATTTTGAGTTTTCATTCTTGACCAAGACTGCCCAATAAAACTTTCTGTAACGATGAAAATGTCCCATATTTGCATTTTCCAGCGCAAGATCTCTAGTTACAAGAGACTGCTAGCCAATAGAAATGTAGCTAGTGCAACCGATGAAGTGAAATTTTAATTTAATTGAATTTTAGTAGAAATAACCACACAGATTGGCTATTACACTGAACAGTGCAATTTTAGATTTTAATTTGAAAATAGGATTCCACTGTTAACAGTGTGAAACTCTCCACCGAAAATGAAGGACTAGGAAAACTTTTTCTAATAAAGAGTAACTGATGATTCAGATAAATTCTTCCAGAACACACAAATATGCTGACTGTCTTGGTACATTCTAGTGAATACAAATCTTCACCAGTAAACTAAAACCGACATCGCTAGTTATCAGCCAGCAGGGGGCGTGGAAGAGTAGCACGTAGTATTTTCTCTGGAGAGTTTTTCTTCCTCTACATCTAGGGAGGCCCCAGAATTCATACCCTGATCAGGAACTCCACACTCTGCTTTCTAAATAGCTAGAGTCAGGTACATAAGATGCTTTGTTTTCAAAAGATCCCCAGGAATTGGTAACAGAACTTGGTTCCAGATAGTAAAGCTCATAACCAATTAATTATAAAACCTAGTCTTTTCCAAAGATTTTTATATTGGGTTTTAACTTTATCCTATTTCTCCTCTATCACACAAAAAAAGGACTTTTGGATTTACATAGAAAAGAAAAATTTCATTGGCATATTGTTGATTCTTCGAAGTTCTTTTAAGAAAAGTTTTGTTCCTGGTAAGTTAACGGCAAAAGCCTCACCTCTTGATAAAGGTCACTGAGATCTTCCTGGTGGGCCTGTTTGGAACATCCTGGAAATTCCCTAACACAGCAGGAATCTGGAGGCCAGTCCATCTCTGTCATTTCCAGCCAGTCAGTAAAATACACGACTCCACAACACTTAAACTGAAAAAGAATTATTAGTCAGGCTAAGAAATTACAATTTTTTTTAACTTATGAGAGATTAAACATTAGATTTCTTAAATTTTTGTTCTCAGAGCTAAACTCACTTCTGTCATCACCTTATGATATATGTACATTCTATGTTGATATTGGCTAACCAATATCAAAAACTAACCACTCCATAATGGAACAATTCTGAACAATAATGCCCATAGCACATAAATACAAGTCAGATATAACTGAGTCTCAGTCCCATCTAAGAGCCTTTAGAGTTGGTCATAGAGTGACAGATTTAACACACACCCTAACAAACCCAATAGCTCAAATTTTAACTTTACTATTAATCTCTGGCCACTAGAGAACAGTAAATCAATCCATTTGGAAATTACCTAGTTACTAGCTTAATTGCTCAACAAATTCAAATATCATATTAAAAGTTTCCATAATCTACGTAGAAAGATTTGTTGACCAAAGGCCATATCACAAAAATTCCTTAACCAATCAAACTGCCAAAATCTTTGAGATATAAACATAGCTTTGTGCAATGAATTTTCATTCAACAGGTGATGTTCCTGAAATAAATGACCATATTCTATCATCATAATCTCATAAAAAATAATGTGCCTTTACCTTGAGTGAAGTCAGATTTAGGAAAAAGTATATTTTTGTTCTTAAATTACACTTAAGACAGTTGTATGCTTTTTTGTCTCATTTTAACAAAGAAGCAAAAACTTTCTCTAACATAGGTTTAGAAACAAAAAGATATGTACAGATTAGATTCAGAACAAATTAACTATTCTGAAAAATTTTTTGCCTTGGATAAAAGAGAAGTATCCTTCTATACAGTCAAAAGGCGAGGAATATGGGCAGTCATTGAGGAAAAACTGCCAAGAGTGACTTGGTATGCAAATTATGTAGCCTAAGAGATTAATTTGTGTTCAAGATTAACACTGCATAATAAAATACCACAATCCACTATTTCAAGGTTTAGCTACAATCAACTTTGAAGAATACTGAACATTTCATGCAAGAAACACATACTAAAATTTATTTTGAAATTTTTGTCTTGTGTTAAAAAGAAAAAAATCATCTTGAGTATTATAAATGATGAATACTAAAATCTGAGTAATACTATAATTATGAGAAGCTTCTAAAATATTTTTAGCATTTTCCTTTTATAAACTTGTCCTAACAGCCATGGAAATACCATAAACATCACAAACTGAGTCCCATTCTAAAAGCCATGAGTACAATATAAGCATCATAGCTTGAGTCAACATAATTTGTCATCACATATTTTACACAATTAATTGAGTATCCTTAAAAAAATACAGATAGTACAAAGATTTCACTTTCTAAAAATCCTAAACTACTGCATTTCCAAGTCTGTCTTTCCAAATCCTCACACTCAGAGAAAGCCCATTTCTCTCATTTCCTGATAACATGAGTGCTTTTCACATTGATGACAGAAAGGGAGTTCTTGGAACACTCGGACTCTATCCACAATGGAACAGCCCGTTTATCTGGCTTTGTCAGGAAATGAGGTGCTCCACAGAAATGACTTTTCCAAATAAATTAAACATATTATGTTTAGTAACAGTTTTTTTTATTTTAATAAGGCACTGAAATATTTTCTTTTATGTAGTTGTTTTTCTTGCTAGAAAGAATTTAGTGAATTTATATTGAAACTTTTTCTGAAAACTCTCCTTTAGATACTTTAGATACATTTCATGCTACATCAACATCAACACTATGTAGGTTATGGTCGACATCTCCTGGTCATTTTTCTGTCTCCTTTAATACTGCACTGTAAAAAGCTCTACTCTTGCCAACACTGTTTCCAGCTCTCATAAATATCATATAGTCACCATTTTATGGATGAATAAACTGAGGTCCTGAATGGGTCAACTAACTTCCTAAGGTTACAGGCCAGCAAACAGAAAATGCTATTTACTCCAAAGCCTGTGATCCAACCACTAAGTTAAAAAATAAGCACATTTAAAAAAATTAGTTTTTAAAAAGGCATTTAATAAATGGCACTAGGACTTAAGGAAGAGCCAATTAAATTGACACATATGCACAGAATAGCACTGAATGAGGAATCAGAGGAACTGGAACCTCAAAAGTTGACCTTCTGTTCCAATTTATTTTGGAAGAGAGGTGTTATAGGCTGAATTGTGTCCCCTCCACCCAAATTCACAGCCTCCAGGACTTTAGAAAGCAACAGTGCTTTTGTATAGGGTCTTTATAGAGGTACTTAAATAAAAATAAGACCATTAGGGCAGGCCTTAATACAATACAACTGACGTCCTTATACGGAGAAGAAATTTAAACAGACACTTAGAGGGATGACAACAGGAATACACAGGGAGAAGATGGCCAAGGAGAGAAGCATCAGAGAAACCAACACTGCCAACACCTTGATCTTGGACTTCCAGCCTCCAGAACCATGAAAAAATAAATTTGTAATGAGCCACCCAGTCTGTGATACTTTGTGGTGGCAGTCCTAGTAGACGAACATAAAGGGCTTTTACAGCACAGGATGCTCCGAGGTCTCCACCTTTAATGTAAAACAGCTATCTCGCGAAGAAGGGAACATACCTTGTAACAAGTCCAAAGACAACATGCTGTCACTTGGAGTGCTTGCACATTGTCCATCTAGGTGGAGTTCCCGTCAGAAACAAAACAATACAAAACCTCACTTTGTTTTTCACAAAATGGTTCCTATCATAAATTCTAGAAAATGCGGAGCTCTGAGGAGCTATGCAGAACAGTAGCTGAAGACATGACTATAAATTCCCTAATGCCTTACTTATTTTCCCTTTGTGTTGTTTTTAGTATAATTGTACAGTAAACAAACAAAGTCAGGAAGTGTTTAAATAAATAGGAAATCTGTGTTTCATGATAATTTTAACCATCTCAACAACTGTAACACAAATAGCCAGATTTGGAAATTGTCCTGGATATGAACCTTGGCCCAGCACACGACAGAGGAACTGGGAGGGGAGGTGGATATCAGGTAATACACCCATTCTCATATGCTTGACAGCCCAGCACTAACACAGATGAAAGGAAACTGGAATATTTGACTATCTGGGAATGTCACTGCAACCATAAGGAAATGGCTGGGGAGAAGAACTGGGTTTGAAGCAAGATCAATGATTAACTACAAGTCAACAGATTTTAAACATCTAAAGACGGTCTCTGTTTGAGATGGGTGGGTGCAGTACTATATGGTTTGAAAAAAAGGCCAAAAGTCCCTACATTTTAATGTTATCATTAATAACCATAAGCTGAATGATAAATTTATATTCTTAAATTGGATATCACTTAATCTTCTTAACACTCCGAGGAGATAGGTACTTTATTAACCCCATTTAACAAGTGAGGAAACTGAAAGTTAAAGAGGTTAAGTAAATTATAGAAGCGCAAGAGTAAGCAGGACACCTAGAATTTAAGCCAAGGTCTTCCTGCCCATAATGATGTATGTATCGATTGCAAATGTCCAGATGAGAATGATCTTCAAAAATAAAAAACTGTGATTGCAGTGCCATGTGTCTGTGATCCCAGCACTTGGGATATTGAGTCAGGAGAACCACAAGTCTGAGCCCAGCCTTGGTAATTGAGTGAGAACAGAGAAAATGAACAAAACCAAACCTTTGAACATCCATTTGAAAGTGTGGCACTTACTCTATACTCTGTTCTCTAGAAATCGTAGCACTTACCTCTCTCTGAAAAAAATTCCAAGCGTGAGTAAGCCACCGATATCTAGGTAAGCCATAATTTGTCATTCTGGCTTTCAAAGTAACCATATCTGACCACTGTACTGGAACCTAGAGATAAAATACAAAATGTCAACTCACAAACACACACTGAAGAACATACTCACATATTTTAAAATACAATCATTCCTCTACTGACATAAATACTTGGAATATATTATAATTGACAAATGCTATTTAAAATTAATATTTGCTTGTAGTCTAAAGCTCAGATTAGCAAGCTTGACATTTAAAAAATGATATAAAAATCAAGAACCCAAAAAAAATGAAAGAAAAGGGAGAGATGAGTAAATAAGACTCTAATAGAACTCAAGATTAGGAAAATTTTGAAACCTTTTTATGAAAAAATATTATCAAGAAAAATAATATAAAAATTCTTGATCATAGAAATTTTTCAATTTTTTTTTCTGCTGCTGATTTTTTTTTTATTACTTGGACATATTCAACACAAAATAAAATATTCAAACACTGGGCACACAATTTTGGTATCCAGAGAATGGGCTGACTGGGTATACTCTGTTTTCATATGGCTTCAATAAAGTTCAGAGAACTAACCAAAGTCCCAGCCTCCCAGCATAAATCAATGTTATTACAGATTCTTTGAGGCATAAAATAAATGGAAGTGAAACAAATCCTCAAGAAATGTATAACCCAAACCAACATTACTGACAGATTTTATCTAAAGAGGGAATAAAGAATAGGAAATGACATGTATAAACAACAAAAATCATGTGGAAGCAGACAGATGTCAAGTCTCTTCGCTTAGTTAATATAACCATCTTTTTAAAAATTTTACTCTCCAAAATAAATATGGTTTGTTTCTTCATTGTGACCACAATCAATCTGAGACCAAATGTGGCAAGAAAACAGAAGAGACCACTGAGGCTCTGGTACTAACTACTGGGATCTGGCTGTAAAGTAACACATACTGACTGGTTCCTTGCATGGAACTGCTAAGAGCACAAAGCCCAGTCTATGTAAAGCCTGGGTCCTGCAAACCTCGGCAGATAATAAACTTTAATAACACTTTCCATTCACGCTGTTATTAGTGCAGAAGCCATAAAAAATGTGAGCAATTAAAAAAACCCTGCTTTTCACATTTCACTTTTAAACAGCCCTTACTCTATCCTGGTGATGTAATGGGGAGGATTTACACAAGCAAAACATGATGTGTGCCCTCAACTGAATTGGCAGCATGCACTCTGTTAGTGCTCCACACTCAAAAGCCACTTGTGGACTGGCCTACAGTGGAACACAGCATCTAAACGAATATCAATTCCCTTCAATTTACTCAGGTTTCTTAGAATTGTATTAGAGTCCAAAGATCTCCTTTCAAACACCTTACATTCATTCCTTTTAGCCTTGCTATAATGAGATTTACCACATCTATGGCAAATATGTTATACAATCCATTAAAAAGTCCTCAGAAAGTGAACTCATTTCTAAACATCTTGTACTTACCAAACAGAACACAGTCAAAAGGTAAGGTAAGGGGATCAAGAATTTGTTATAAGATTTACTTTCTGTTGCTTGATTGTCAGGGTTATAAATCTATTATTTGAAAACAGAAAAACTTAACAAAGACAACCTAAGCTACTAACACTCAAAATCAGAGTTCCTATGTTTTTCACTTTCCTAAATAAACTTTCTAGGAATGGTGTGAAAAAGTCATCCTCAAAGACAGCAAGACAATTACTATTTTAATGGAAGATTTTATGTTGAAAAAAGGTCCTAATTTTGTATTAATCCAATTAGAACCTTCCTGGACTTTTGAACTTTTCATCAGTTTTCTCTTCTTTCTGAGAGTTAGACACACTGGAAGCCCAGAGTCTACACAGGGATCCTACAGTGAAGGTTCCTGAGCAGCACTGACGTGTAAACTGCAGCGTGCACAGCGTGCTCTAGTCTGAAACCGCCACTTAGCATTCAAAACAGCCTCACAAAACAGTAGCAGATTCACCATAAAATCTTTAACAACCGCATCAGTGCCAGGAATGACTTCAGTTTTATTACACAACTGCCCGATGCACCTATTCTCTCCAAAACAAATATGAAATAATTACCTGTTCTTTTTAAAGGTTCTTGAATTTTAAAATGTTTAAAACTCACTGGAGAACTTGTCTCAGATGCTGACGCCAAGACCCTGCCCTTTCCCCCTGCTTTCCCTCCATTCTGATTTAGCACATCTGGGCTAGAGGCCCAGAATGCACATTATTAATAATCACCCCTCGTAGCTCCTCCTGCAGATGGTCCAAGCACTACATGTTTAAACACCATTTTCCTAAGATGATTCTACAGTGCTTACAGTGGGAAAATATGGCCTGCCTCCACAGAAAGCCGGCATTCCCAGACTTGCAAAAGCCCTCCACCTCACTGGCAATACATGCACTAATTTTCACCACCTACTCAGTATGAGCAAGGGTGAAGTGCAAGGGGCAAACCAAACATGAGGCGAACAATCTTAAGATTAAGAAACTCCTATCCACATTCACTGCAGCATAGCTATGAAAGTTGTTCAAGTGGTTGCAACGGCTGAAATAAAGGAGAAAGAAATGCTGAAGAGGTGCTTTCAAGTAGCCAAATCTCAAATTGTGAGGATGTTTCCAGACTGTAGCAAACATACAGAGACTCTTAAAAACACACTTCTGAAAGTAGAGCATGGAGCAGCATTTGCAAACAGGAGATACAAGCTTCCTGGTCAATGATTTCTGCTGTAATCAGCATCTTACGGGGTTTAAGGAGATGTTCAAGCACTTGTAAAGAAATCATGTTGCATATGCAAATCTTTCCTATTATTAACTCAGAAGGTGGTAAAATTATTTTAAATGATGTACTAGTTTTAATCTATGATATCCATGTTTAAGCAGTCTGTGGAATTAAAGACATATATCATAGTATATCAAATTATGGTTAGGAAGTGTGCTTTAAACACAGAAAAGTAAATGTTATTTTTCAAAGTTTTGGATTGTTCATTGTTATTATGTAGTATAAACATTAATTATTAATATTAATGTGTTTAATAAATTAATAATCATGTGTCTAAATTACTCTAAAGCATGTGATGTAAACAGTTGAATTTGATATTGTTTTAGATTGTGATTATATTCCACTTTGAACTCACCATAAGTTCCTGCTCATATGTCCAAACTCCACAAGCCAGTTCTATACAGAAAATGACAAGTAAACTTCCAAAGTACTGTAGAAAAACACAAGTATGCCATCAGTATAGAATCAAAATAAAGTATGGTCATCAGAGACAAATCAAATATTATTCAATCTCATATTTATCTAATGGACAAGAAAACAGAGTCAAGTTCTCAGGGAACAGATGAGGAAAATTTAGCAAACTTAAAAACACCTGCAAATGACATTTAATATTTGCTTAAGTGGGCTATATTTTATTAGTCAGCTCCTGGAACAAGTCTTTCATAAATACCAGTTCTTTCACTAGGCTAAATAAGAATTTACATATTATAGTCTGATAAACTATAACTAAGTTCTCTGAGAAAATGGACCTAGTTTCTTTCAAAGTGGATGAGGCAAGATTAACAAGTTTAGGGTTCTGCCTATTAGAACATTTTAACCCATTCTAGGCAAGGGGCCTTTCTTTGCATTCTTTGAAAAACACAATTTAAAACAAAATCCCAGCTACTAATGAGAACTTAAACTATGTACTATAGTAAGTTTCTATTATGGGATAGTCCTGTAGTTTTACGAAAGAATATCAGAAATACTGAGGAGGCATGGATAGGCAAGTAAATAACAAATTTGAATACAATTTCAAAGCAGAAATGAAGATAAAAATTCAGGACTCCTGTGAAATAGAGAATTACACAAAGTCCTAAATGGGGAGGGGAATGGGAATAAACAGAAGAGAGCATTTTAGGCAAACAAGAAACATGAAAAGTGAGTAGAGGGAGCTGGAAAGTACAGCCAAAGGACAAGGAACAGGAAACACATCTGTCTAGCAGAAAGAGAAATGATACAAGATCAAATCTGAAAAGTAGATTAAAGTCAGATTATAACAAACTTTAAATAATACAGGAATGGATTTTAAATCTATCATGTAGATAATATGGTGATATCTCTCAAAGTTCTGAGTAAGACAAAGATATGATAATCAGATTAAATAATGGCAGGATCTTAATAATGGTTTGGAAGGAAAAGGCTGAGGGGGAGGGTTGAAGATATTACAGAAGTCAGCCAAGAGGAAGCAGGAGGAGAAGACCTCAATTTAGACAGTGGCTTGCAAATAGATAGAAAAGAACAGCTTCCAGAGATTTAACAAAAGAAAACTGACATGACACTGGAGTGGCTGAATTCACAATCTGAGGGGAAAGGATGTATATCCCCAAAGCACAGAAATGGGGAGGGGTAACTAGATTTGTTGAAAGATAAAAATGGTAATTTTATGAGCAACATAGAAATGTATATCCAACTACGGGAAATGTCAGTTTGGAGCTCAGGTACCCAAGGGTGAAAGTCGAAATTATTTTCATGATTAGAACCAAAAACAGCAGCTTTTGGATGAGGCGCTATTTATCAAGCACTTTCATAATTCATTCACTCAAGAAACTTGTTAAATGGGTAAGACTACTCCATTTTACAAAGGAGAAAAATCAAAGCAGAAAGTATATAAGTGGCTCACTCAAGAAGGGCATACTGAGTGTGGAGAGGGCTGGAGAGACCCCTGTAGCAGTGTTGTGAGTGCTCTTCCTTATTATCTCCCTAGCTGTGGCAGTAACTCAACAGAGTCCCATAATAAGAGTGTGAGAAAGAGTGGGCTTTCTGAAAGTTCTCCTCACCAAATCCAGAAGAACTAAAATGGTGCTGAGCTTACAAATCTTCCCCTTCACTTGATGGTGTGGGGTTGGGGTAGAGGTAACCAGGCAGCAATGCTCAATTGTTATCTCCTTCACTGGGAAGAAGGCTCCATTAAGGGCAGGCACGTTATGTTTCTCATCACAGAACATGTATTCAATAAATATTTGTTATATAAAATATTAATGAAAACAAAGTAGAGTAATTTGATAGTAAGTGATGGGGCATTCCCTTGGACTGGATGATTCAAAAAGGTCTCATAAAGGTGATCTGTAAGATGAATCAGTGATCAAAAAAGGAAGGCGATACAGTCAGGATTTTAAACAAAGCAAGCCAGAAAGAAGACACATCAAAGGCAGGGCCATGTTACAGGGTAAGCTAGTTAGTTAAAAACAGTAACTTGAGCACAGAATGGGGTGGGATGGTAGAATAAGTACATGTAAATCCTGAGAGGCAGAAAGAACCACAGCACTGTGGGTCACAGAAAGGATTCTACCTTTTATTGTTAAGTGTAATGGAAATTCACCAGCAGGTAACATGATCTGAGGTACATTACAGAATTAATTCTGGCTATGTTTTGAAAAACCACCTAAGAAAAGTAAAGGTATATCAGCAGTGGTACATGTTTGGGACTCCACCTACTCTGAAGGCTAAGGCAAGAGAAGCCCAGCCTGGGGTAACTTAGAGAGATCTTGTCTCAAAATAAAAAGGGCTGAGGACATAACTCAGTGGTAAAGTGTGTGCCTAGCACATACAAGCCAAGTTCAATCCCCCGGCACAATGCAGATGACTTACACAAAGGACTGCTGAACTAAAATGGCAGCAGGAAAGGAAAAAAGGGGGTTGATAAAGGGTTATGAACCATTAAAGCTTACATTTTTTACATTCTTTGTTCATAGTTTTTGCCAAAAAAGGAAAAGTAATAAAAGATACAGAAAATTAGAGTTTTTTATTTCCATGATATAGTCCTTATGATTTAAAAATATAAATCAATGTTATTGGCTTTAATTTGCTTCCCTTATACATCTTTCATTTTAAAAATTAAGAATATATAATGGTGTAATTTTTAGACAATATTAATAATTGGCTTGAAGATAAAAACTGGCTCAAAAGATAAAGTAGTATTCTGTTAAGGGGAGCTTATTTTACAAGTTACTTTTATTTTCACCACATGGAGTACTCACGGTTAGCTTCAACTTACTCAGATCTCAATTTCAAGTGTTGCTACTTTTAGGACTTAATTTAAAGATTTTAGCCTTGAAATGCTGATTAGAAGAAATCTGGTGAGCACACTAAGAGTACTTCGAAGTGAGTTTTTCTCTATGCTTTTTGTAAGAGACTTTTAGACATGAAAAATATTATATTTACCTTTATGTTCCACAGAGACCAAATGTTTAGTAGTTATATGTGCCATCAATTTTCTTATCTTTCATAAGAGCCTAAGAGACATGAGACTACAGAGAAAAATTACACTATAGGATACCTTTGCTCTCTCAGATCCTTAACCTAAATTCTTTTCAAAACTGATGTACAGTTACAATGAAAACCAAAGCATCTCTCAAAGGCAAGACACCTCTAAGGATAAAGCACACATGGATGATAATTAAGTTTGCTGAATGGAAATAGGAGATACCCTGACTTTGTCTTGGGGATAACCACGCAGATTTCTGGATTGATTTTATATCCTATAAAATCTCACTTGAGTCATCACTTCCATTTCTGTCTCCTGGAGTCACTGATGAGTTTACAAATGTCTAGGCTGTACCAGCTGAAAGGCCCCAACACAAGGCCATAGGCAAATGCCCAGATAAGTGAAATTGTGCAATATTTGAGTAACCAATGGATCCAAACGCCAAGTATGTAATAACAACAGGCATACTATCACCTTTGATTTCTTAAAATAAGCCCTACAATGGTCTAGCAATACCACCTCTTAGATAACCATAGAAATGCATATGTAAAGAATACATATCTGAAACAACCTCTTATTCCAAACTCAAAACTGAGATTACAGTTCATGACAGGGAGAGGATAAATTCCATATAATTTGACCAGTCTTTGAATATGAGAAAATTCCAAAATGATCATATCTCAGATTTCCAATGTTTTCAGTTGATGCAAGTTCTCCCATACAATTATTCTTCCTTTCACTGTAGGAACACGGATTATTTCACCTTGAGGTTCAAAATACAAGTTTAATTAACATTATACAACTTTAATGCAAACAAAAATTGTCACAAATGATATTGCAGCTTCATGGTCAGCTACCAGTGCCTTGTTGTATTACATTAGCATTAAATGTCCAATTTTCTAAGTCCAAGAATATTGTAAATGTTAAATCTATCCTTGATACAACATACTAGATCAACTGCACTTACCCTTAAATTTTATTTTTAGTGAGATGTGAGTCATTGATAAAAATCATCATATTGATCATTGCACAGAGTCAGTCACTATTTACTTTAAGGGCTGAGCTATGAAGCATTTGTAAAACATAGTGTTAATCCATAGTTTTAAAAGAACGAAACTAGCAAAAAAGCACCAGAACTTCCAATGAGTTCTGCTATGGTGTGAAGTGTACACGCACATATGTATGTATGTATATATCTCACCCCTAGTGACATTTTTCAGCATGTACCTCTCAGGCTTCTTATTTTCCAACATTCCTGGTTTGATGGTTGGGCTATACCAGTCATTGCCACAGCAACTTATCCTTTCTTTCCCTTGCACACTCTTCCTCTAGAATGATGGAGAGGGCTCTGAATTGGGAGTCAGAAGAGTCAAGTTTAAACCCAACTCTAAAACACAGAGTGTTCTTTGGCAAATTGTTTAACTGCTCTGTTGTCAGTTTGCTCATCTAAGTAATGTGGATAAAAATAAGGCTTTTTTTTTTGTATTGTCAGGATTGATTTGATACATGTGAAAGTACTCTGGAAAATGTAAAGGAGATACAAATGCTATTCTGTCCTGGTTTGTGAAACACAGTCTGGTATTGTCTTTTCTTCTGCACTAGCCTCCATTCCCTGGAGTGGGCCACAGTTTCTTCCTGCATTTCACCTCTTGTTCTTGACCATTTCACTTTTCTCCTTCCTGTGTATATCAGGCTTTCCTTGTCTAATGTATCTCAAGCCTCAGTAACTCAGAGTTTAGCCACTTGGCTGCCTCACTCACCAGCCACAGTGTGCACTCGGCAGCTAGACGTCACTTCTGGCTGGCAAGATCTTGTTCTTCGGCATTATTTTATTCCCAATGCCTCCAGTCCCTGTCACACAGCAGGTATTTAATAAATGTCAATGGACTTAATATCAGTTTACTAACTAGAGAGACAAATTTCAGCATTTCCTTGAGTTTCTCTACCTAATTTGAACCTTAAGT